TTACATCATAACGACATAATCACCTTCTCATCAATATCGTTCACGTATTTCCAGGAATAGCCGAAAGTCTTATGCACCGATTTAATAAATAAGCGGGCCTGCGACACTGAGTGAAGTAACGACTTCTTCTAACGACACTCCGTGTCAGAGATGGGAGCGAGTCAACCGTTTCGAGCCGACCGCCGGTCCCCGGAGCCAACCGTCCTCGCCGGGCGCTCGAATTTTGAATTCAACCTTTGCGGGGCGGGGCGGACCCCGGCTTTCTCCATTATCATTGGTGAATTACGGCGGCCGCGGCCCACACGCGCCGCCCACGGCTAAGCCCCTGCGCTAACAGTTGGGCCGCGCCCACGCACACGCACACGCCCACGTCTCCGCCTCGGCCCCCGCCACGGCCTCCTGGCAGTCCGGGCTCTCTCGCTTTCAAACTCTTGCCAACTGCGTGATACGGCATTTAACTCCGCGTTTAAGAAACCGGTGTGCGCGCCTCGGTGAGTGGTTAGCTCAGAGGCGCTACCAGTCTCAAATCATTGGGAAGGGAAGGATTCAATTGATAAGGTACAGATTACCGCCTTCAATGTACTCCATATGCCTAAAAATGTTGTACGGGTAGATTCAATAGACAATGTTCATGCAGGTCAGATGGCCGAGATCGTTAGTGCAGTAGTGCCGTTGCGTTCTGGGACCAGACGACCGCGGGTCCTAGTCCCACTTGGGCATGGGTGCATGTCTATAAGTATTTGCCGTCGTTTCGTCCCTCACCATTATCATCTTTTCGCCCATTGCTAAGAACCTTGGGGGATCAAAATCAGGATTCCGCTATCAGTGATCCCGCTTCATAAAGATACTTGCACCTAAGCAGGATGCGCGCGTGGCCCCCGTTGGCCTATTTATTAAAACAAAAAGATAAGGCACATATTACGGGTTATCCCCCTCCAATATACCCCAAAGACAAACAATATCAGGGAGACGCATTTCTTCCATCTCTCCTGGTGGCGAAACTGTGTGTTAACGTACTGGCCTCTGACGCGGACGCAGCGCGACGGCGGTTGGCTGCGCGGCAGCGCCCCCGGACCCCGCCACCTCGGCTCCGGCCACGGCCTCCTGGGAGTCCCTTGCCAACTAAGTGATGCAGCACTCCGCGTTTAAGAAACCTTTGGGCGCGCCTCGGTGAGAGGTTAACTCATGGGAGCTACAGAATTAAATAATTAGGAGGGTAAAGACACAATTGATAAGGTGCACATTACCGCCTCCAATGTTATCCATATACCAAAACAGGAGGATTCAATAGAGGAGGATTTAATAAGTAAGGTACAGATAACTAGCTCCAGTGTACTCCATATACTAAAAGATATTATAGGGGAGGATTCAATAGATACGTTACAGATTATCAGCTCTAATGTACTCCATATACCAAAAGATATTAAACTCTACCCTCTTCCTTATCCTTCCATTTCTTTATTAAGAAGAAACATTTCACAACACATTTCGCGTCTCCGTGAAATTCTCTTTCATTAGATACTTCATTAAAAAATTGCTTGTGAGAACCACGAAATTCATACATACCACTGAAATAATATAGGAGAGGATTTTATATAATGTAAACAATATAATATGAAGTGATGTAACAACATCTGGATTATCGTATACTGTACTAACTATTATTCCAAGTTTGTTGTTTAAGAAAGAGTTAATATAAATTCCATCTAACGTTAATGAACCTATGCAATCTAATTCCTGCAATGTTATGCATTTTTCCTTAGTACACATCAAAATATTCTCCTCTGCTTGCTCTTGCTGTGGTATAATCTTATACACCGGGTACATTTCTTTACTGTTCCCAGCTGTGAAGAGATAACATACTACGGTTTCCTAAAAAAATGTATCTGTTAGGGGAACTACTTTCGTGGTAGACTCCGGACAATGTATTGTTTAATAGCTCAATTGCTTTCAGATTTGAATTCTGTATGCTCACGTCCAAAGCTTTCTATTGCGTCCAGCAGACAGTGACTTTCTATATATTTATCTTGTAGTGTAACTTGTTCACACTGCTTCGACATACACTGATTTACATCACAAATTCGTCATTTCTTCAGGATATACTTTTGCTTTTTCGAAAACTATAAAAAGGTATTTTATACACTCGACTTGTTTGATAAGTAGAATTTATACTACCTTCTTCTTGAATTTAAAACCACAGTATTAATTTCAGGAATAGTTAATGAGTGTTGGGCACTAAATTAGGATTAGTCACTTACTTAAACTCTTAAATAAGTGACTATCACCCGTTAACTATTCTTAAAATATGACCTCTTCATGTAATGTAAACGTGTTTCCATAATTGCCAAAACTTCTTAGCTTTTATGTGCGTAAGCTAAGTCTGACAAATAAATACAAATAAATATTTGTAAAAATTGTGACTGCGAGGCGCGATTTAATTTTCTTTTCAGCAAAACTACGGTAAGAGAGCCGAAATGAAATTAGGCTCTGTCTTCGGAGCTTCAGGAGGTTGATAGAAAGAGAGCCTATTGGCTAAGGCCTTGATTCATATTCGTAAACGCCTTGGGTGTTAGAAACAAGCATTGTAGGCAAATGTTCCGTACTCCTTATCCCACAGAGAAGGTGCGGCTTCTGAATAAACATGTCCACAAACACTAAATATTTTTAACCACTAAAGATTTTCGGCAAGTCATTTAAAGTCACACGTGCTTCACAGATATACGATTTGAAGTTTTGTGGTCTTTTAAGTATCTAATACTGCTAACGGGAACACATTTTTCGCATATTTATACAATATTGAAATGACATATAGTAAAGAGATTGTAATTATGATTTTATTAAATTTATCTTTAGTCATTATCAACTTCACTCTGCTTCTCTTTTCGTTACCTTGAACCATTTATCGTTTTTAAAGAAAGAGAGCCATTTTTGTACCAATCGATATCAAGTGCCAACAATGAGAAGTTTTTGCATGGTTTAGCGTACAGCAAGCGACCGCAATCTCGAACTTCTCCCCATAAGCGAATGCAGAAAAGTGTTGGGAAACTCGAACTGCGCATGCCCAAATAAACATTGCTGTCGTTTGCTGTAATGTTCTACCGTGAAAAATTCCTATTATGCATCTAAGCTTTTTAATCTAAGATATTATAAACCTTTTTTGCAGAACAAATAATGTCATCAGATAGCATTACCAATCTCATAACATGAAATATACTATTCTTTTGTTTCAACCTAAACAAAAGCATCTTTTTAAATTGCAGCTTTCGTTTTAAATTGAATTCTTATTTTTGCTTATTCGATGTTGTCAGTAAAGGTTCTAGTCAAACGGTTCTGCATGAGTTATGTCAGAATCAGCCGAATCAACATTCACTACGGTTGGTGCTCACTACTATTCTTGTTAAAAATCATAAGCAGAATGAAGTCATGAATCGCCGAGTCCGCAAGCGGTGGTCCGATTTTAATCCTCATCTGTCTAGTACTTCCCTCGTGTGCTCGCCGCACATCTCCCCCTCCCTCGCATGCGCCCAATTGCAGTGGCGGCCGCCCTGCGCCCCGGAAAGGCGGCGGCGCGCCCGCCTGTGCCTTGTAGGGGCGCCGCCCACGGGCGAAGCGCGTCGGCGCGGGGCGGCGTGCCCACGCGGGCCGGGCCGGCAACGGCGCAGGTGGAGACTGACTCACGCGGCCGCCGCCGCTCGCGCTGCTGTGGGCGGGGGCGGCGGCTGCCGGTCAATTGCCCGGCAATAATCCGCGTTGCGAATGGGCGTGCAGTCAGGGAGCTGGCTCGTCAGGCGCCCACGCGCCTTGCCAGGGAACGCGTCGGTAATGCCTACCTGCTGCTAGACGACATTGGCTCGCGCCCGAGTTTCAATTCTTTCCGTTACATTCAATAGTTTTTGCACAGCATGAAGCAATCATACCGCACATCAGGCGCGGATCCACGGGGAGAGAATTGAGGGACATTGCTTAAGTTTTTCAGTATCTATTAATTTTAACTTGTCACGATTACTTTTAACTTGTCACGATTAATTTTAACTTGTAACTTTGGAGGAAAAATATTTTCGAAGAATCATTAAAACGAATAAAATCGTATCGAAGCGTGAGCTGAGTGTAGTCTGCGGCGTTTTACAAAATATGTAATATGACACATTTAACCAAAACATTTTGAATTTCCCCTCCCAAAATTTGTCTCTGTACCAGCCCCTGTCGTATACGATATGAAAAGTTTTGAGAAGCTTTACCAACTCGAACGTTACGTTAGAGTCAGATTAGACGGAATGACCGTGTGTAATCACGTGGCTGTGAATCAGGTCCGATACATTTTTTTAAATACGTTGGAAGGTCCTTTAATTTCTTAGACAGACAATCATATACAATTCACATGCCATTGTACGTATTTGTGGCGGCAGTATATGCCAATAGCTCTCTTCATAAGTTACAGCTTACTATGGCTCAGCCCCTTTGACTTGCTCGAAGAATGCTCGTCGAACAAATGCGAATCAAGAGGATGGAGAATTATGGAAGTTTGGCGTAAGCAACACACTCTGTCGACACAGCTCGCAACTACTTCCAAGAAATAAACGTGCAAAACGCCTCTCATATCACCTACATATCACACCATCCGAGGTTCGGACCCAATGACCTTGGATTCTCGCAAGAACGTACAAAATAAGATTTGATAAGATGTAAAATGTTCATGCTTTTGCGCAAAATATTCAAATAAATGTTGTTGATAAGTGTTAAACAGAAATAAAATTACTCCCGTGCCTTGAACATATCATGACATCATTTTTTTAACAGGAGATATCTAAAGAAGGACCTAGTCGTTAATAAAAACAAGAAATTTTGAAGTCTATAACTTTATAAGATTTAATTTATCAACAAAACCTTATAGGAACATTTTGTAAGAAATTTTGTCTTCTTTAAGTTAGTATTGAGTATATTTTTTGGTAGTGATAATAGGTATGGATATAAATGTACAAAATAATTTTAAAAAACTTTAACCCCCCGACTACCCCCCAAAAATTAGAATTTTGTAGTTAAATGTTCGGTAGATATCAACAAACAATCATGCCAAGATGCATAAGTCCGGAATATATGTACCACCGATATGTGAGTGTAATTGTTTTCTACCTTTAAAACACATTGATTCCATTATTATTGATTAAATATTTTGAATCAAACATAGTAATTAGAAATTTAATAATTATCCCTAGAGCAATGCATATTTCCGTAGAATTGAGAAATGGTCTAATTTATTTCACACACCTAGAATCATATTGAAATTACCTTACTGGAAAATAATAATAATAATAATAATAATAATAATAATAATAATAATAATAATAATAATAATAATAATGTAAATGAAAATGAAAATAACGTTAAATTTAATTATCAACCCTATCCGCATTTGGTCAGGGAAAATAATTCTCATGAATAGGACGTTCAAAATCAGTAAGCTTCTGGAATTATTCAAATTTTGGGACTTTTAGTACATATAAAAATGACATTTTCAAGATTTTTTTAAATAGAGAAGAGAATTGATTTATATTAGTAATAGGCGGTAAAAGAACATTGTTAATTAATTATAATTATATTTAAATTTTTAAATACATTATTAATACATGGCATTAGAGAATCATTGCTTTACGTATAGTGTTCAATAAATGTAAAGAGAAAATAGTATGAATTGAGAGACACCTTCTCTACATTACGTCATAATCTAGAGTACGTATGTAGTATCCACATCGCATGATTAATTCTCCTGATACAAACTCATTTCAACAGAGAACTTCTCTTTGATAAATAAATAGATGTTGACATTAATAAATGACAGTTTTTTGGTTTAGAACCAAACACAATTTGTAAATAATAGAAATTCATTTGAAGAACATATGAAACTGAATTAGTATGGTTAAATGGTTCGTGGTGCGTCAAATCTATAGCTCTATAGAAACCTATAAATCTATAGGAATCTATAATTAACAAGACATTTGCCAAGCCTGAAATATTTGAACATAATATTATGAAATCTTCATAAAAATATTGCAGTCACGACAATCACAGTGTAAGCAGAGCAAATGCGCAGACACATATTCTGTTCTGTTTCATATGTATTCATGTTGAAGCTAAAATCCTACTTTACTGCGATTGCCAATAAAAAATTAAAAAATATATCTAATAAGTTTAAATTTGAGTGATTTTGTTTGACTCTGAAAAGTGTTTGTACAATCATTATGATTACGAATATCTCTACTGACAGCTACTGACTACTAATGTATGTGTTACAGTGTAATACAATGCATAAATACAATTGATTGAAGTAATACACAGTACATTGTATAATGATTGCCGATACATAATACACATTACATTACATAATGACAATTGTATAATACACACTACATAATGAATGATTATAGTTAACATTTACTGCATTATAGTCGCTGGTGTTCCGGTACAGGGAGTTAAGTCATACAAGTGAGTTTGAGGAAAAGGTGAAGAAAAAGTTGGTTTAATCATTTCAAAGCAGATAATATTTCAGAAACATTAAATACACTACTTATTAATATTTATTAAGTCAAATAGATTATGGATTTTGAAAGAAATTACTCCCTGAAAACGCAACTCCACGTTGACCAAAAGTGACTTAAATCCCTTTGCGAGAACACCACCAATTTTTCACATTCTTATAATACTGATGATGCTGGAGTGGTGTGGTGTGCCGTTGTGGGCTGCCGTCAGAGGCAGAGCGCGGGGTAGCGGCGGTTCTTGCGGCCGCGGCGGCAGGCGGCGCGCGGCGCGCCCTCGGCGTACACGGGCGTCCCGACCACGTTGCCGCCCGGCGCGTAGTTGCACACGAACAGGTGCGACGTGAACTTGCCGTCCGTGAACGAGCAGAAGCCGCACCCGACCTTCGTCGTGTTGGCCCATACCAGCTGGGTGTAGTGGCCCGTGCTCGCGGAGAACCTGCGGGGTTACGTTCGCAAAGTTTACACGTCTTCCTCCGTAATCTGGCTGGTACTACAATAGATAATGAAATAAATACTCCTTGCATCAACAGAGAACAATATTACATTCCCCCACTTTAATACTCGCACTGCTTCATTCTTATGTTTAAAGGGAGGTCGCCTTAGCCATCTCGTCGCATAAATTTCGTCTGAAAATACTCGCCCCTAACAACTGAAAAGCCATATACCTGAGCGTTGTATAATCACCTCCTTCTGCAATAAATTAACAAATTTAAAAAAGGGACATTTAGTTGTGTTTAATTACATTTCACTAAATTCGCACATGTTTCTTTTATTGTTTAATAAGTTGATTCGATAGCAAAATTAATAACCCAGCATTTTCTGTTAGTTTTTTATTACATATACATTTTTTAGAAAAATCTCCTTCTTTCCCTTTAAACATTCTCCGAGGCTTGAGCTATCATACAAGCACTTTCACAAAATTATAATTCTCCATGGAGGTTTCTTATTTTCTTTTACGTTTATGTTCTGCGAACCCCTATGTATTCATAACACCACTATATACAATATTTCGTTAGTATTTCAGCAATGTCTAGCAAATATCCATCGGCATATTAAATGTCGTAGGTATTTCTCAATATTCATGTGTGTACTGTATGAGCTTTGTTTTCACGTGTATTGTAAGTAAAGTAAGGACAAAAATTGTCAGAAAAGTAGAGACTGAAAAAATACGCGAAGAAAACGAATTGCCTCCAGAGGATAAGTCAAAAACAATAAAAATGGAAAGGCGCATTTTCGACCAGAGATAAATGTACGAATTAACAGTAGAAAAGGTCATAACATAAAATATACGATTTTATATCCAAATCTAATCCACTCTAGGAATCCTTTGCGATGCACACTACTTGCTGCAACTATTTTCTGCGCACAGGAGCAAGTGGGGCTTCGAAAATACATGTGTGTGTGTGCCGTACGCCGCCTCTCCGTGCCTTGTGTGTGCGTTGCGCCGCTTATCTGTGTCTGCGTGTATTATTTTTTGTACAGAAAAGGAATTGAATGAATATGTATTCAAGAATTTAAAGTTATACAATGACTGCACAAATTTAATTGCTGAATAATCCCATGGGTATAAAACACAGGGTGAGCGCTTATCTTGCGTTCAAAGACATTCATTCTCTTATATTAGTATTGCTCTTTTTAATGTTTAGCCCAGTAAAACGAATGTAGCATTCACAATCTCTAGGTGTCTCAGATAAAAAATGTTTGAAGCGGCAATAGTTACATATAAGGCATTCATGCAAGTGCTACTGTAGTACCACTAGTTCTGTATGCGAAGGTACAATTAGGTAAAAATTGCGTATTTCTCCCCGGTAGTGGAAATGAATGATGATTTGCCTTTCGTAGACAATAAACACGAACGCGCCCCCTGCCAACCGGGTCTCCCTATGGCACCGCAAATCCTACCGTGTGATTAGAACTGACAGCGCGGCTCGTTCGTCAATTTTTGCGTGCGCGCAAATTTTTCGAGGGTAGGCTACATTGTCGTGAGTTATCGTTCGGCGAACACGTTTAGATTTAGATTTATTTAGTCAAAAAACAATCAAAACTGTATGTGACGTAAGAGGGAGAAGATAATCTGCATACGTTTTCTTGAGTTCCAGAATCCCTTCCCATCATTTTAACTATAAATAGTTGAAAGATGAGTAAAGGTTTAAAATAAATAAATAAATAAAAATAAATATAAAAAAGCGCGAGATTAGCAATATTTGAAAAAAACTAGACATTTTCGTCCTCGACTTATAGAAAACTTATTTGCATCGGTAAACGAATTGCAGGTATCAGATTTTTTGCATTGCTAACAAAATAGCAACTCGCCCTTACCTCTACTCCTACCATTACAAGCAAAAGGAGAGTTCAACAAAACGCGCATAGTGAAGCTACATTTACGTCCAGAAGCGAAACAAGGGGCCATCTCAGCATTTACTCAATTTATCAGGGACTAAACCAGATTGAGATGGGGGTCATTAACCCGGAAGCTGAAGTACATTATTTGTTACGAACATATTAAGACTTTTAAAAAAACTTATATACAATACAAATGTAAACTAATTCAATATACATCACTGTTTTGTTAAAATAAACATTATTTTTCTTTTTGATAACCGGTATAGTCTCTAATTGTACAGAAACCGTTATGCAGCAGAAAAGATTTTACTTTTAACTTAAATTTGTGAACCGACTTCAATTGTTTAATATCAGCTGGCAATGCGTTGTAAAGTAACGTGTAATGTATTGTATGTGGATTTCTGATAGTGAGCTGTTGATACTGACACTTGATGAACGTGATTTTTACGTGTGTTGTAATTATAAATATCAGTATTGCATGAAAATATGTTCCCACCGTTAAGTAAATCAGTTTTAAAATATATTATATCATTCGTAAATAAATAGGCAAGGCAGTGGTAAGATTCCAACCTCAATGAAGAGAGGCTTGCAGGGATCACGCGAATGGCATTTGTTCATTATTCGAATAATTTTCTTTTGCAATCTAAAGGTCCGGGTACTATATGATGAGTTTTCCCAGAATATTATGCTGTATCTCAGGCGGGAATGCACATTTTTAAAATACACGCAACGAGATGCATGATGCATGAAGGCAAAAATGCATTGAAACTGTTTTTCCTTTGTTAACTATTAATTTATTATAACAAAGCCAATTTTAAACTTCTAAAAACGTATTATTTATTGTTTCTTTTTGCAAAGATCATTCGTGTCATCGGCAAAGAGAACCGTTCTTCGGTTTCTAATAGACGAGGGCATATCGTTTACGTGTAACAGAAAGAGGATAGGACCTAAGATCGGGCCTGCGGGACCTCATATTCAATTGGTAAAGAATTGGAAAGATAAGTAAATACTGTACTTTCGTGTAAGTGTAGTATTTCTACTCTTTGAGATCAACGTTTTTGATTTATTCAGTCAAAAAAACAGTAAAAACTGTATGTGACGTGGGGGGAAAAGATGATCTGCGCACGTTTCCTTGAGTTCCAGAATCCCTTCCCATCATTTTAACTATAAATAGTTGAAAGGTGAGTAAAAATTTAACATAAATAAATAAATACATAAATAAATGAATACATCAATAAATAAATTTAAAAAATTGTAAGTTAAGCAATATTTGAAAAATAGTCATTTTCATTTCTGAGTTATAGAAAACATTTGAATCGGTACACGAATTGCAAGTATGATTTTTCTGCATTGCTAACAAAATAGCAACTCGCCCTTACCTCTACTCTTACTGTTACAAACAAAGGGAGAGTTCAATAAAACGTGCACATAGTGAAGCTATATTTACGTCCAGAAGCAAAACAAGGGGCTATCTCAGCATTTGCTCAATGAATCAGGGAAAATGGACAAAACCTGATCGAGATGGGGGTCATTGACCCGGAAGCTGAAGTACATTATTTGTTACAAACATATTAATGTCATATGTCATATGTCTTTTAAAAAACATTATACAATACAAATGTAAACGAATTC